CCCGCTCCCCGCGGCAGCCCGGCCCCGGTCGTGCAGCGCCGGGGAGCCCTCTCCGCGCCACATGCTCAGATTGCACCGGGAACACGTGAGGTTTGCTCAGGCGTGGGGGTTATTGGTGTTTTTTTCCTTTTTTTTTCTTTTTCTCTTTTTTTCTTTTTTTTTTTTTTTAAGCAGTAGAAAACGACAGGTTCTTGAAAAGTTGCTGTAACTTATATCTGCCTCCCCCCACCCTTTGAGAAGTCTTTCTTTTCGTTTTCTCTATGGCTAATTTAGAGAAAATAAACCCACCACTCCTCACCAACATTTGCAGACGGTTCCTTGCGAACAAGGAACATAACTATTGCTCTGAAGAGAGAAAATGGCCACTGTTTGCCGAGCGTGTGTTACTTTCCACTGTTGTAAATGACAGCGAAATACAGTGGCCTACTTCGCCTTCCCTCGCTGTTATATAAATATATGCAATAAGGGTCAAAGCGGCCGAGCAGCTTCAGAAAGGGTAATTAAAATACACACATATAAAGGACCTTGAGAGACACCCGGGGTTCCGGTGTTTTTAGAGAGTTTTTCCTGATTGCAGAATGCAAAATCGGATTGTTGTGGATCTGCACGGCGCAGCTTAGGCCTCGATCATTACACATAATTAGACACATAATGAAAAATAAAGCAAATATTAATTTTGATAAGTATTTGAGGATTGTTCTGCTAAATCCTCGTCGGGGATCATTAGAGGAGTCCACAACCTCCTCTAATCCAGAGCACAGACTGGAGAAGAACAGGGGTAGAAGAGAAGGAAAGTAGAAATATTTACCTGAAAATATCTACAAAAATAGAGATTATATATTTTTATATGTATATATATAAAATATATATATTAAAAAACTAAACCCTTCAAGCTATAGGAGTCGAGGTGTGGAGATAAAGCAATTCACAGTTTGCCTGCTCCAGTCTCTGGTTAGATCACTTTCAGCACTTTTTGAATATCAAATGTGGGGCGATACACACACACACACACACACACACACACACTTTTATATATATATATATATATATATATAAAAATCAGAAACAATACCCACTTTTCCTTGTTACCTTCAAATCCCTCATTTTTTTGCATTTGTAGTAGGCCTAATTTCTTCATCTTACACTAAATGGGGGAAAAAGAAACTATAAACTCTGGCTGACCTGAAATACACGAATCTGTAATATAGAACATAAATATGAAGGTGCTGATTATGTCGAAGTCAATTCTCTGTACCAAGGGCAAAACCCTCTCATGGATCAGGCAGTGTGGCAATTTTTTTTTCTCTCTATTTCCACACTTGCTGCAAATACTGCTGCTCCCCCCCGCCCTGAGCTTTTCATCGGGTAGATCGAGTTCTTCTAAAATGCCAGTTAGGTCTAAAATAGTCACTGAAATGTGCTGAAAACCTGATTCTGAAGGGGCTGGGGAGGGGTAAGACAAGGGTGTGTGTTTAATGTAAAAAAAGATGAGATTTTTTCCCTTTTGCCTAACCGTACTCCTTCCATAATGGGATGTAACAACATTACAGTCACAAAAGTAATGCATAAATATTTTGGCAGCTCGGAGACAGCGAACCCCGAACCCATAGTATTTCGGGCCACAGTTTGCAGGAAGAAGGTGGCTTCATATTCGGGTTAGGTGCAAATCTATTTCAGGGGGAAAAATAAGTTTGGAAATAAAGAGAAAACAGCTCTTTTTGCCCTTATTTCCTATTTAGAGAGACGGATCCTGTTCTCAAGTTTTGTTCAAAATTAAGTTGCTTATTTAAATAGGTGGAACAAAGAAAATTTTAACACTCCTCGAGCAGTGTTAGAGAGAGAGAGTCTTTCGTGGAAACAGCGTCCACGAAGCTGCTTCTGAACCCCAAGTGGGTCCGAGACGGGGACCGACACTCAAAAACTTGCTGATAGAGGCAATCCGAAAGCTACCCACCCGGGCAGAAAATCGGCCACGCCGCGACATGTTTTTCTTGCAGCATCTAAACCTATTTATTTCTTAGGACGATGGGAGAGATTTTGTTTGTTTTGCCTTTTGTGTGTGTGTGTGTTTATTTGTTATTTGTCTTTGCTTTGTTCTTTGTTTTTTAAGGAAGGCAATATTTTGCCTGACGAATCCTTAATTACTTTTTTGTAAACTGTTAAGAGATTATCCAGAGCCCTTAGGTCGTTTTACTTTCCGATGACTCCATAGCCCGAAACGGGGGACCGAAATAATATGCATCTAAAATTTTCTGGAGGGTGTCTAAGAAAAATGTGAAAATATCTAGGGATATTTTCACAGCTATTCAGGGCAGCGTATTACCTTCAGAAATGCGCTCTGCGCAAGTTTTTATCACACGACTCGGAAAACAGATACCGAAGTATTTATTCTTTATTATTGCAGGTTGTTGGGTTGTTCTTGGTGTAGGTTGGGGTTTTGGGGGGTTGTTTTTTTTATTATTATTATTTTTTATTTTCAAAATAAACCTCTATGGCGCAACTTCTAAAGGTCTAAAATTAAGGTGCTAAATTTTCCTGTTCTTACCCAATATGTGCAATGATGATAATTATCTTTGGAAATGCACGGACATTTTAAGCTGAACAGTAGAAGGATACTGTTCAGCCATTTCTATTCATCGGTTTTGCTTCGTTTTTAGCATGACTCCAAACAACTGTTTTTTCCCTCCTTAATTGTAAATCAGGTTACTTCCATGCAACCTCTCCATTGCACTCCCCACCCCTGCCCCTCGTGAGCCTTTTTTGCCTATTTACAGGTGAGGAAATCCCAATATTATGTTCTCTATAGTTTATCTTTTTGTAGTATTTAATTAACCCCTAAAGTTATTACTGAAATACTGGTTAGACGATAAAATAACGTAAACGTTTTGAAATACTTTTTTTTTTTCTTTAAAAGGGTAGTACTTGCTAAGCCTTAAATAGGGCATAAGATGGCTGCTTTGGTAACTGAAAATTACCTTTTCCGTCCTGTATGCTATTATCAAAACATCTCAGAACATTTGCAGGATTGCTGTACTGTAGCATTAAAACGGATCTGTTTTCAGTGTCAAAGATCTGTATTGTTGAACAGTGGCTTTAAAAAGAAACAAGAGGAGAAATGTAGGCTAGGGAGACTGCTTAACGTGGATCGATTTTTTTTTTCCTTCAGAAAAATATCTTTGCAGTAAGGTTTGTTAGGGAGAGAAGGTTATTTTTCTTCACTTCCCCCAAGACTCAAGTGTAATACAAGGGTCGTTTTCAAAACACATTAGCACAGGCTCGGCTATTATTTCCGTAACTTCAGATATGACAGTGTATTGTTATGTTTTGATTAATTTGAGGTCGTTTGTTGGTACCAGAATTATGCAAAATAGGATTTGCATTTCTGGGGGAAAAATTCTTATGACTTCAATAATGTAACTTAGAATTGTGTCGTTTTAGTGGCCCAGTAGCTTGATAAGTGATTTGGAGGTCCAGTAATCATTAGGACTGGACTGTATTTGTTGTTTTACGCCATTCTGCGATTTCGTAACTTTTAACAGATTTTAGCAGGGATGGAGATGCAGACAGGCCCTCTGACTCCTGTAGTAATGTCTTCACCTACAAATATGTTGACGTGTGAGTGTATAGATTTTTTTATACTTATATATTCACAAAAATACACATATGCATATATTTATATACACACACAGATGCATAAAATCCACTGTCAATACTATTTCACAGAAAGTGAGATTAGCCAGTGCTAATATGCAACCCTAACGCGCCTCACTATTGATATGAAATTTTAAGACACCTGACACACGTAACCAAGGCGGTTTTCTCTTTGGATTTATCTCTACGTGGCTACCATTAATGGCAGAGAGCGCACGAAGGACTGGAGGGTACTTTGCCTGTTGGGTGGGAGATCCTTTCCTCTTAATGTCTCAGACTTTACGGACTTCTAAAAAATCCACTTTTAAGCTTTATTTGTTGATTTTTTTTTTTTAATTTTTTTTTAATCGCCCGCGAGCCCTGGGGCTCGCTCTGCACCACGCGCTGCAGCAAAACCACGGTGCGAGGGAGTCCGCCGCAGGTCCCCGCCGAGAGGGCATCTCACCCAACCCAAGCCCCTTTCAAATGTCGCACCCTGCTCTTGCGACGCCACTTTCCCCAGAAACTTTGCGAGGGAGAATCAGAAAGCCCCCAAATGAGGACATTTCAGTGAACCTCTGACTTGTCTACTCAGGGATAAATTTATGTTTATTTCTCCTCATCCAAGGATGCCTCTGCCTTTCGGCCGTCGGTACACGTAGAGATAAAATCGCCGTTTTTCCCCTTTCACCACGCAGGGCTGTTCGTGGGCCCGAGCGGCGGGGAGGAGGTTAACGCCGGCGGGAGCAAAGGTGCATCTGCACGGCAGATGCTTCTTCTGCGGCAATCGCACCGGTTTTCTGCAATTAAAAAGAGGATGTTAGGGAACTGGCATGGGGGGGGGGGGGGAAAAAAAAAAAAAAAAAAAAAAAAAAACAAAAAAATTAAAAAAAAAAAAAAGAAAAAGGAATAACAGGAGCCAGTCGTATGTATGTGCAGAATTAAATTTCAGGAACAGAATTTGTGTGTAAATTTAAGCACATTTACGAAATGCAGACATCAATCTTTTTTTGACAATAATATGCAGTGGATTGCTCTGGTTTTAATACTTACGTTTTGTAGTACAAAAAGGAGGAAAGAGACATTTTAAAAGGCCAAATGAACTTCAGTTGTATTAATCTCTATCAGGCTAAAAATATGGATGTAGAGAAAAATAGGTAGCGAAGAGAATATTTTCTGAAGCGTTACTGATTTTGTATTTGACTCTGGGTATGCTGCTTCTCTTTTTGACTTTACCTAAGGCTCCCACAGACTTTTGTTGGCTACAGCAGAAGCCATATGGTCTGGCTGCTAAAATTAGGTTCTGCTTGTCACAGCCTGCAGAGGCTCCAGCAGTCGTCGTGCCGGCCCTGGGGAGGAGGAAGGAAAAGGGCTTTCCTTTGCGCCGCTCAGTCACAGGCTACAAAACGTAGCTGCAGCTGCACACGCTGCTTGCTGCGGTCAGCTACGGTCACACCTCGGCTTGCCTGCTGCCACCACCCCGTACCCGTGTGTAAATTAAAACTG